CACTCGCGGGTGCCGGGCCGGGCGGCGGTGCCAGGCGGGCACTGCCGGAAGCACTGGCCCTTGTGCAAATAAAACTTCTCCTTGCATTTCATGCAGAAGTCTCTGCTGAAGCAGCTCTCGCAGCTGGGCGACCGGCACTCTGCGGGGCGGAGGGACTCCCGTGAGCGGGGCACCCCCGGCAGGGGACACCGGTGACGGGCACCCGAACGCTGCGCGCCCCCGGGGCCGCCCCAGCCAGGATGCGGCTCCGGAGCCCCCCACGTACTGGTGCATCTGTTGACCTCGAGGCCTCGCACGCCGAAGTAGCCGGGCGGGCAGGTGTGGACGCAGACGCCGTGCTGGCGGATGCCGTCCCGCCGGATGAGCAGGAAGAGGCGGTGGTGGCAGGGGACGCAGCCGTTGTCCTCGGAGCACAGCACGCAGCCCGTGCAGTTCTGCGCCGCGCCGGCGCTCGCTGCGGGATGCAAGCAAGGAGGAGAGCGGTGCCGCCGGCCGGGAGAGCCGGGAGCTGCAGGGAGGAGCCGGAGCGGGGACCGGGCAGTGCCCCGCGCCACCGGGCCCTCTGCCCTCCAGGAGCAGCCTGGAGGTGCCCGGCGGGAGCGAAATCATTTGGATGCTTAAAAAAATGCCGGAAAGAGGCATTTGCAAAGGAAGTGAGTGGTGCAGCCAGGGCAGCGAGTCCCGATGCGCTGGACAAGGGGAGCAGCCGCTCGTGCCAGTGCCGCACGTCGCTGCCCAGGCGGGTTCGGCCCAGTCAGGGGCTGGCAGCGCGGCAGGTTCCGGGCGCCGGATCGCGACGCACCCTGGGTCCATTGAATTGCTGCAGTTGCCGTTACGCATTACCAGGTGCTGATTCATGAGCGTCCTTCCCTCCCCAAACGCTCCTTGGTGATTTCTGGGAGCCGGGGGTGGCGGGGGTGGGATGCCGGGACGGCACTTCGGGGACACCGCGCCAGGGAGGAGTGTGGCAAGGAGCAGAGCGGGACCCGACGGCACCGAGCGCCACAGCGGGCGCGCGGCCACGTGGGGCCTGCGGCCACGGCGCCTTCCCAGATGTCCCCCGCGCGCTTCTGCACGGCCCCTCTGCACGCTCGTACCAACTGAGGCACCACCAGAGGCTCCCCTGGGAGCCCTTTTCCTGGGAATGTTCATCCCCATCGCAACACGATGAGGGTACGAAACTGAGACCATCCCCATGCATGGCTGAGCATCAGCGCCCCAGGTCTGCCCCTATGGGGTGACACGAGTGGGGCTGTGCTCAGCTGGTCCTGCTGGGTGGGCTCCAGTGGCACCAATGGCTGCAGAGGTGACATGAGTGGGACCGTGCTCAGCTGGTGCTCGCGCAGCAGAAGCCCCAAGTGCCACAGGCCGCGGGGCTGGGCCGAATGAGTCGCCCCATGTGCCAAGGTGCCAGCTGTGGTGCACAGAGGCGCCCGGTGCATGAAGCAGAGAGTCCCTGCTCC